AATTTTTGGATGGTTACCTGAAAAAATAATTAATGAAATCTGAACTCGTCGCTAGAATTTGAAGATGTTTGTATCGTTAAGAAAATTTATACTTTACCTTATACCCGATGGCCTATTGCATTCATCTAGTAGTTCTGTATTACTGAGCTTTCCAAAGCTCACTCTATTACTTACCATTTTAGGTTAAAGAGTTTGATCTTGTGCTTTTATCGACATCAGTAAAGGAGTTCCACCGGCATTGCTTGTGGAGTACGGTGCATGAAATTAGAGGGCATGTAGGTTGTATTGTGTTTTTATATTCGAGTCTGAAACTTGTTTTATTACTGGATATTGCTGAATTTTATTTTTAATATATAAATGGTTTTATGAACTTATATTTTATCTATAAATTATTTTACAGATTTAAATAGATTAACAAAAATTTAAAATTTTTCAGAATTTTCAGTATGGGTCGCTCCGATGACCATAATGTGACACCCCATATCAGATCACCCGTATCAGTTTGAAGGTGTTACAAATAAAATAAGATCTGAGATGTTTTGGCTAATATGGTTTTGGATTGTCCATAATTTCTTTGATTAATATCTGAGATGATACCAAGGAGATTGTTTTGTTCATCATCGACTTAGTTAGAATTTTTCAAATATTTGAATAATTTGAATTGAGTTTTTTTTATCTTTTCTGTGGTATGTGACAATACTAATTTTGATATTGATCGTTAATCTTATGTGTTTATTTTATATTTTTACTTTCTTATATCATGTCGTTATTTCTCATTTGTTTTTTCAATTTTTAATAATTTTGTTTTTATGGCGTGTTTTCCTTTGTTTGTATGATATATTTTTCCTTTGACACGTTTTTGTTTGTTTGCCTATTTTTTGTTTATCTTTTTTTAGAGTTGAATTTTACATTCCCCTAGGCTAATCAAGGTGACGCTTATTTGTATTACTGTTGATCATCCTTGCTTTGGACGATCAGATTGGATTTGGATACGTGGTCTATGTTCATGGATAGTTTTCTCACGTCGCTTATCTCTGATTTGCGGTTTTGTCAGTAGTCTTTTAATAATTTGATCCCTTTTTTATTCATTTGTTGGTACAGTCATATTTGTTTGTATTTATCTTTTGATTGAGTTTTTAAACTTTTTTTTCTTTTTATGATCTCAAGTGACTAATTTCTTGTGTCAATTGTTATAAGAAAATGTTTACAGTTATAATTGTAATAATTTAGATTTTATTATTTTTAATAAAATTAACTTCTTTTACGAAATAAATGATAACATTGATATCGAATTTTTTTGGAACCAATAGTGAAAAAAGAAACTTAACTTCACATTAATGACCATATATGTAATTTATTCAAATAAAAAATACCGGTGAAGGAATTAATCCAATACAAGAGGCTATGTTTTTTTAGTTGCCCTCTCGGTCTCCAATGATTTGCCTTGATTAATATGGAACAACCCGATTCGCACGCCTAATTTTGGTGGGTGAGTCTCCCAACGGAGATTTTCTGCATACACAGACTCAAACTCAAGACCTGCTTAAACAATATCAAGTTGTTTACCACTTAAACCATCTCGTTGGTAGAGATTATATTTTTTGGTGTTCTAACTGCTATTTCCTTTGAGATACAATAAGCAGTGGTCATGATAATGATCATAGGATTAAAACCAACAGCACTTGTTCTAACTGCTATTCCCTTCGAGATACAATAAGCAGTGGTCATGATAATGATCATAGGATTAAAACCAACAGCACTTGGCAGAACGCTTGGATCACAAACATACAATCCTTCGGCTTCCCAAATATCCCCATGTTCATCAATCGCACCATCTTTTTCATTAATCCCCATCCTACAACTCCCCATATGGTGTGCACAGCTGGGAACGGTCCAGTTTTCAACACCCGACGATGGTCCGCCTTCTGCCGAGACCGTGTCTAAAAACTCGTCCAACTCCTTGTCACTTACCCCTTTGCATTTCATTCTTTGTCGGTTGCTCTGATAAGTCCCAACCTCGACTGCCTCGACTGCTACTAGAACCCTCAACGATTGTCTGATCCCGGCTCAAATGTTGTCCCGGTCTGACTTTTCAAACTTGTACGTTATCCATCCGTTGGTACTAACTTTTCCGGACCCTAGATCCCTTATTATCGTAAACATGGTAGCAATTCTCGAGAATTTTAGCATCATTTGTTTGATGTCGAGACCGGACACCCAAGGGCACGAAGCGATGAATTGCCCTGGCCCCATTAATGGAGTTTCGATAATGGCTTGCAGTTTGTTGTTTGGTCTCAAAAGTTTATGAACTGATGTGATGATCCCACCATCCATGGACTTCCCTTTGAGGTCGGAATCGGAATCCGGGAAGTAAACCCATGTCATTGTGACCGGATGGAGATGAAGATTCCAACTGATGTTCGTATTCATAAGCCGACTCGAATGCATCAAAAGAGGTGTGTGGATTGTCCCACAGGCCGAGATTGTTACTTTCGCTTCTATTTACAGTTTCTTCGTGATGTTTTGGTTCGAAGATGTTGAAAAACACTCAAACACTTCATGTTCATTATGTTGTTATGTTCCAACACCAACCTCTCTGCTTTGCAGGCTGTTAAAATGACTGCACCACTGTTAACAGCATCGACAAGCCATTTTCTATCACTCCCTTTCTTGTCTCCTCTTCTACAACCGTACCCACAAGATCCGCAGTAATGACCGTCGGAAAAATTCCGCGACACATTTTCGACATCAAGACCGAGATTTCGACTTGATTTTGGAAGCTGTCCATTTTATAACCTTCCGTGACACCGAGCCTCTTCCAAACGATACCCATGGCCGAAACATACTCCTTGCTCCCGAGAACCGAGATTTTACATTCCTCAGCCCATTCCCAAAGCACCGGTAATGGTGTTCTTATACAAGCCGACCAATTAACGGCCCAGCCACCACATACTGTGAACCTACAAATAAAGACAATATAAGATTTTATGTAAAGGTTGAACTTAAAATTTTAAATGGTTCGAAATTATAAAATTTTAAAAGTACAAAATTAAATTATCTATAGAAACTATATTTTTTGCATTCTAGTCATTATTCAAGAAAATTCAAAAAATAAACCCTAATCAATTGAGATTATTATAAACTTAAATTATTAATTTAGAAATTTGATTCGAATATTAAAAAATAAATTTTTGATCTTAAAAAATTACTCAACCGGTTTTAAGAGCGTTACAACCCTTATCTTTATTCTTTTTCACAGTAGACAATTACATAAAAATGTCAAATTATGTGAATTATAAAATTTATTATAATTTAACGTGATTTTTTTCATAAAATGTTATTCGATCCCTAGAGTTTTGTGTAATTGGATAATTACAAAAAATATTATACAACTTTAATAATTTGTATAATTTGATAATATTTTTTGTAATCGTATAGTTCGACTAGATAGATATAAATAAAATTAAGAATGCTTTTGCATATATTACTTATCATAAACTTGCAACACAATATAACATAAAGTTTTGATTCTAAACTTTATAACTTAAATAATCCTCCACGTCATTTTGTCTGCTCACTAAAAAACTAGGGAATCAATTTTATATTTAATTTGCTATAGCAATATTGGTCTGTTTGTAAAAAAAAATTAATTTACTCATCATCGAAATTAAAAGAAATCTCAAAAAAATATCAATTTTTAAATTTTTCTTATCAATCTTTAAATTAATTCATGAACAATATCAAAAGTTTCAATTCTAATATTATGAATGAATAAATTGATCAATTTATTATAAATTGAATACATATGTTTCTTTCAATCAGATCATTTTACAACATTTGATTCCAAACTTATAAAATACTTTAACCCAGCCTCTTAAAGAAGGAATAGGCAGCCAAGTGCGGAACTTGGTCATAGAGCTTGGAGGGGCCAATTTAAAATTTAAAAAATTTAGAGGTTTAAATTAAAAATTAAAAATTTTGAAGGGCACCGTTTACATTTTAAAAAAAAATTGGGGTATAACTAAAATTTTTTGAAATTTTGAGAGGCTTAATGATAATTTTTAAAAATTATGTGAGGGGTTTAATTAAGAATATTTAAAAAATTTAAGAATTAATATGAATTTTTAAAAATTTTCTGGGGACCAAAGTGTATATTTTAAAAGATTTAAAGATCTAAATCATGATTTTTAAAATTTTGAGGGGACCGTGGTCCCCACTAGCTTCTATTATGTTCCGCCATTGGGGCAACCCCAAGTGCAAGACCATGAAAATAAAGGGTTGGCATATCTTTCAAAATAGGCAAAGGAAGAACCTCAAATATTTCGAAAGGAAACTTTTTATAAATATCCTGAACTTGCAACTTCATATAACGTAAAGTTTCGATTCTAAACTTTGTAACATAAATAATCCCCACATCGTTTTGTTTCTCACTCAAAGAACAAAAAATATCAACTTTAAATTTAATTCACTATAACACGTTAATAATATTCTTTTTATCATAAGACTTAATTTATATAATTTTTATGTAGTTGTGTATTTCAAATGAATAAATATAAATACCTTACTTGTGAAATTTAGAATTATTTTATAAATATCCTAAACTTGCAGCATAAAATTTTGATTCTAAACTTTGTAACTTAAATGATCCTCAACCATTTTGTTGCTCACTCAAAGAATACGAGAATCAAATTTAGATTTAATTCACTATAATTTAGTAGTAATATTATTTTGTTTACTATAAGACTTAATTTACTCAAACTTTTTTATTAACCACTATGTTATAAATATATGCATTTACATATAATATCAAATCCTAAATATATATATATATAATTAAAATAAAAAGGAAAAGGAAGAGTATATATACTTTTCCTTCTTTTCAAGATTTGAAGGAATCACAAGTTTAATATAAACCCTAGTATGTGGGTTCTGAAAACCATGATAATCTTACACACATGATCTCATTCAGAGTTGAAACATACAGAAAAAGAGAGTTTGAGATGGAGTCTCAGAACTTTGGGCACCAACATCCAATGGTGTTCAACGAGGAGAGGAGCAATGAAACCAAAGAAGCTCATTGCGGGAGATGTGGAGAGACGGTGTCCGGTCCATTCTTCAGCTGTCCGGAATGTGGATTTTCACTCCACAACAAATGTGCGGAGGCACCTTCAGACATTGCTCACCCTTTCCATCGCCAACACCCTCTTCGTCTTCTACCAAAACCACCACCATACTATGGACGATGTATTTGTGATTTTTGCGGTGAAAAATGTGAGTTCTTTATTTATCATTGTTCTTGTGAAATAGACTTGCATATCAAATGTGCTTTATTTACCCTTAGCATAGCCGAAAAGAAAACTGAAGAGCTTAAACACATAGCCACCATTGAACCACCAGTGGTCCCGGGAGAGGGTGACAAATCACTTGAAAACTCTGTGTGTTTTGGGTGTTGGGAACCATTAGGAGAGTCTACATACTTTTCTATCGATTTTGGGTTCAACCTACACAAGAAATGTGCCCAACTACCCCATGAAATCAACCATCCCTTTCACAAACAACACCCTCTTGTTCTACAGTTTAATGGTGAACGTTCCTCCTGTAACATATGCCAACGGACACGACGTAGGGGATTTCTTTATTGTTGTTCACCGTGTAAGTTTCCTGTTCACATTAAATGTGCGGAGTTACCTTCTAAAATCAGTAACCCCTCCCATCGTAGACACGCTCTTGTTTTACAGTCTAACCATGAAAATATACCTTGCAAGGCATGTCAAGAAACCCAAAATGAGAAATTTGTTTATTCTTGTTCACCTTGTAAGTTTGCTCTTCATATCAAGTGCGCAACACCACCACCTTTCATTAAAGGAAAATATCATCAACACCCATTCGCTCTGGTCTGGAAAATAGCCTCGTTCATTTGCGATGCATGTGGCCTCGAAGGGAATTCAATTTCCTATATGTGCTCTGCATGCACCCTTGTAATCCATCAAAAATGCGCCTCAATACCTCCTATTATAAAAGTCCCACGGCATCATCACCCTATTTTTCACAACTATTTCCTCTCAGGAAATGAGTTTAAGAATCAGAATTGTGAGTTTTGTGACACCGAGGTTAATATAGACTATGGGAGTTACTATTGCTCAGATTGCAATTTTATTGCCCATGTGAAGTGTGCAATGGTAGAAGGCTGGTACGAAGTAATTGAGGCAAAAGATTTAGACGAGGGACGTGATGATGATTGGGCATCCATTAATCCCGTCACTCGTGTAATTGAGCAAAATGAGGGTGGAGAAATGACAAGAATAGAACATTTCAGTCATGCACATCATCTGATATTAAGTGACAATTTCATGGATAATGATAAGACTTGTGATGGTTGCATGCTACTCATCTCAACCTCATTTTACTATTGTTCCTCGTACTGTGACTTCTATCTTCACAAAACTTGTGCTGAATCACTCAGGAAGAAGTTGCGTTGGTCTCATCGACATCAACAAGGACTCAGCCTTGTTGTCGGCTACATTTTCAAATGCAGAGTTTGCGAATGTGAGAGTAGCGGCTTTGCCTATAAATGTGAAGCATGTAATTCGCGTTTTTGCCTTCCATGTGTGGTTAGCAGAGATTATAGAATCACACATCCAGCACATGAACACCCTCTCTTCTTTTTAAAAGAGGTCAAAGGGAATTGTAAAGGTTGCGGTAAATTATGGACAAACCTACACAGATGCAGGCGTTGTGATTTCAATCTGGACTTTTTTTGTCAATCATTGCCGCTTATAATTCGAGACAGGCGTGATGAACATCCGCTGGCACTCACATATCAGGAGGTCAATGATTATTCAAAATATCTTTACTGTGACATCTGTGAGAAAAAAAGAAATCCAAATCACTGGTTTTATCATTGTGCAACTTGTGATTTTTCTGCTCATCCACAATGTGTCCCTCAAAGCCGTCTGTTGATCAAACCTGGAAGCATGTCCAAAGCAGAAGGCCACCACCAACATCCTCTTACTTTTGTACGCAAGCCTCATTATTATCTTCAATGTCACAAATGCAGTAAGCTCTGCGAAGATTTGGCTCTCGAATGTGCAGACTCTACATGCAATTATACAGTCCATTGGGAATGTGTAAAGCCAGCTGAGTTCAACATTTATGAACCAGTTGCGCTTTACAAAACTCAAGCAGATCGCTAAAATTGGACGAAAACATGATTATCAAATACAAGGTATGCTCCTTTGTTAATTCCCCCTCTGTAAATATTTTTCTACTTTGATTTAACTTTGCAGTTTCAATCATGGCTCATCAACAATATTAATTATTTTTTCTTGGTTCCATTTTCTGTAAGGTTCAATGGGGATGGATCAAAGTAGCAGATTCAATTGTAAGATGTGAAAGCTTGGTTTCAACATGTCTGAACATGGAGTTGCATTGGTTCTGCTTGATTGCTGGTTTTATTGTGTTTATTTTCCTTGTCTGAAAAATAAAAGTGTGTTGTGTAAGAACTGTTACAAGATAATAAGTCACGTCTCACTTGTAAGTCATTTATAAGTGATGAAGTGAACGATTGCATTTTCTGTGTTTATTCATAAATAAATTAGAGGTTCTTCTCAAATTTGTTGCTTTTAATTTTTCTTCTTCTTCTCAAATTCACATTTTCCAATAATTTTTTTATAATATTAGCAAATAAAAAAATAAAGTGTTCAATTTTATATAATTTAAAAAACAATTGTAATTCATTTTCACTTTCACAAATAGAAAGAAAGTTGTCAAGACAAATATAATTAAGTATAGGAATTGATTCTAAACTTGCATCTTAATGCAAGGTAAAATTTTGATTCTAAACTTATAATTTAATTATCAACCTATTTTTTTAGAAAATCTAAAATGTTACTCTCTCGAAAAGAAGAATATTTTTATTGCTTTATATCTACAAATAACAATATCAATATCAATACTCGACTGGAGGGACGACAAACTAATCTGACAAGAAGTCATCTCCATTAACAATGAAAAGTAATAATAAAGGATTTAAATAGTGGTCGGTTATCTGAATAGCGATCATTATACAACGGTAAAGGTGTCGTCCGAAACTGTCATTTCACAATCACGATACCCACAATGTTCGTAATAGCACTAAGGTGCTCGAACTCAAGAGCTCAATAGATAACAACAAATCCCTTAACCAATAAGTTTGTCGCACTGAAAGTTATTATGGACACGTATAATTGAGTGTAGGAATTGATTCTAAACTTGCATCTTAATGTAAGGTAAAGTTTTGATTCTAAACTTACAATTTAATTATTAATCATGAGACAAGTTCTCCGGTGTCTTGAATGGTCAGACAAGATGTCAGAGAACGGTGATTTTAGTGTCTACATGATATATGGATAAAACTATAAAACTTTCGTCTTTGGATGACGAAGATAAAATAAAAAATAAAATGAATGTCATGTCAACACAAATCAATCCACACCAGCACATGTGGCTTCCATGTTACTTTTCATTTATGATTTAACGCTCAAGTGATCAAAATAGGAACAAATTAAAAAAATTGGTGAGTAAATTGAAAATATTTAAATTTGAATGATCAAAATAAGAGTGAGAAGAAAGTTGAGTGATGGATTTCATAATTTGCCCAAAAATATATAAGAATATAAGTTAATATAAAGGTAAGTTTTCAATTAGTCCCTTCCAAAAAAAATTATTTCAATTATGGTTCCTTAAAAAAAATGGAACTTCATCCATGAGGTCTCATACCATTTATATAACACATTCTAGCTGGTTCTTTCATATCCCTTTTTTCGTTATGAATATAATTTTTCCTTATTTTTCTATATTTTTTTTCAAAATGGTTGAATCGAATTAAAATATAGAATCAAAAGACAATGGACTAATTAATTAGGGTTGATTTAAGTGGTAAACAACTTGATATCCCTTAAGTATGGTCTCAAGTTTGAGTCTTTGTATATGTAAAAAAATCTCTATTGGGAGACTCACCCACTAAAAACAGGTATGCAACGTGGGTCCATCCAGATTATTCAAGATAAAACTTTAGAACCGAGAGCGGAAAAAAATCACCAATGACGATGAAAGTAATCTATGTTCCACATCTATCGCAATGTCGTGATACTCTTTAAACTTTCATTTGCCACGAATTCCAAAATTATAGCCTTGGAAATTTATGTTTGATCAACAAGTTAACAGTTTGACTAGATTTAGATGTTGAATATTTCTTAAAAACTTGCATAGGAATGTTTGTTGGATTAAAATCTATATTTATAGATACATATTTTTAACGTATATGGTTATCATAAAATATGAAATAAATCAAGTGATCAATTATGTTATAAAGTCATAAGGTATTAGAAGTATTGTGGAAATAAAAGTGTAAATAGTATCAAAGTTGTATTTATAATTCGACGAGGGACAGAGTTATATGTACAAACAATAAATAATTCTTAAATTAGCTAGAAATAAATCATTTTGTATTTTATCTTATCCACATCAGAGAGTTTATACTAAAAAAAACTAATTATATCTTCTTGAAAGATCACAACTAAGAGAGATTCAAAGATTTCAACCGATTAATTCAGGCACGCTTCCTCATCTAATATTTTATTCTTGATGATTTTACATAATTTGATTATATATGGTTGTTTTTATATTTATTATGATTTGGTTCTAACAAATGATATCACCACCCTGTCACATTACATCTTTAGTTGATGATTCGTGATTTCTTTTCATGGTTCTTGATATTAAAATTTGGTAATTTCCTTGAACACTTGGTTTTATGTTAAATATTTACTTTAGTGTACCGAAAATTGTTAGCTTAACTTCGAAAGAAATAACAAACGAGTAATCCTTTTCGGTATGAATTCAAAGGTTTTAGTTGGGCTATTAATTTAGTTATTTTGCTTTTGAATAAGCTATTGACATCTTCTGAATTATAGCTACTAAGTATTTGGTTAAATTCTAGAAATTATGATGCATTTGGTTTGACTTTTTTCCTTAAAAGTTTTACATAAATTTTTTAAGACATGTTTAAAGAATTTTTCGTGAAACAATAAGAGATTTAAGTTCTTTATTTTTAATAATGTTATTTAAACAATCTTATTATGAGTTACTTCGAAACCATTACATAATTAGAAAATTCATTTTTTTTTTGACTGTTATAGATTATAGAATATATATTTGGCATTGAAATATACGATTCAGTTTGATTAAAATTTTAATTCATTAGTACGCATTCTGATTTTTTTACTTCTGGTTAAATATTATTTTTTTTTAATTCGGTTTGTATTTTGTATTTTACGAAGTTATGAATTAAATGAATGTCTAAGGAATTTTCCAGAAACAATCAAAGACTTGAGTTTTCGTTTTTTGATAGCACTATTTATGTAACCTTATTTTTGGGTTATTTAGAAATTGTAGTGCAATAAAAAAATTTAGTTTTGATCTTTGATAATTACGGAAATATTAAATTTGAATATTAATATTTATTTTGAGACAACTTAATTAAAGCATTAAGTCTTTAAAGTGATCTCTATTGTGGAAAATGTTTTATTTTTAAAATATGAAGGTTATATACATGTAACTTGGGATATGTTAGTATTGCTTGGCCCAAAGGAAGATTAATAGTTGACATAATGACATTTGCAACTTTGGTAATAAACATGTAATAATATTCGATTTGATGTGTGAGTAATAAATCAACCCAAAGATTTTTGCTCGATATGTTCTTATTATCAGTGTTTGATTACCACACCAGATATCACTTAAAGTGAATATTTTGTCTAAAGATAAAATATTAATAAAGTGTCTGATATCTTGAGATGAGGCTTAAATGTATTCAAAATTATTATTTTGGTTATCTTTTAGTATAATTGAAATTTTATATTAAGAGAAATTAATTGATTGACAATATTTATATGATTTTATTTATATTGTCAATGCAATATATATATACATACTCAATTCGATTTGATCAAAATTTCAGATTTGATTGTTGTTTATTAGAATATATATATATTGAAACAAATTAATTCATTATTTGACTAAGTCTAATATTTTGATAGATTAGTTGAAACAAAATACCGCCAAAGTGACCTCTTTTGTGTAAATTGATTTCTGTAAAATATTAAGATGATTATGTGTTTCTTGTGATTCATACATTGTTGAAGAATCGGGCAAAGTAAACGAAAGAACACAAGAATTTTAATGAGGTTCGATAATGTTCTTACGTCCTCGGTGCCTAGACGGCGCTAGAAGTTTTATTTAATATCTCATAGGTTTAGGTTACATCTCTATTTATAATAGAAAACCCTGGTATATAATACCTTACAAATCTCCACCTTGGCAAATATCCTGCCCCTTAGGAAAGATTCAATGTGGGTTGGGTTACCTTAATTCTTTAACAACTCGAAACATTCAACAAGTCTAAGCAATACTTGAACTTGTCTATCATAACTGGCTTGGTGAACATATCAGCGGCATTCTCATCAGTATGTACCTTTTGAAACAAAACCTCTCCAGATGCAACCAACTCTCTGATCTTGTGAAAACGTACATCAATATGCTTAGTTCTAGCACGATATACCTGATTCTTAGCCAAGTGAATAGCACTTTGATTGTCGCAAAGCAACTGAACTCCACCTTGCTGAACTCCCAACTCCTTCACTAAACCAGTTAGCCATAAAGATTCTTTTGCAGCTTCAACCGCTGCCATGTATTCAGCTTCAGTTATAGATAGTGCCACAACATATTGAACAGTAGACTTCCAACAAATAGGTCCTCCACCAAGAGTAAAAACATACCCTGTCGTAGATCTTCTATTATCCAAGTCACTTGCATAGTCTGAATCCACATATTCTACAACCAAAGGATTATCCCGCTGACTACCAAAAACAATACCATGTCCCACAGTACCCTTTAAGTACTGAAATATCCACTTGACTGCTTCCCAATGTTGCTTACCTAGTTTAGACATGTACTTACAAACTTGACTAATAGCATGAGCTAAATCAGGACAAGTACATACTATTGCATACATCAAGCAGCCAACAACATTAGAATACAGAACCTTTTCCATATCTTCAGCTTTCTTATCTGTCTTAGGGCATTGTTCTGATGAGAGCTTAAAGTGGTTCGCCAATGGAGTGCTAACTGGTTTTGCGTCCTCATCGCAAAACTT